GTTTTTAAAAGGTCGACGGCCTTTAGATATCATCATTGAACTGATCGGCTCCAGGCAATTCAGAATGATTTTATCCTCTTCATCTGAAGGTATCTGGATTTGAACTCGAGTCTGTATATCAATTTTCGGAGTCAGTACCACTCGAGTCTGAAGGTATCGGCCCCTACTCGAGTCTGCACCACTTGCCTGCACCACTTGACCACTTGCCTACGCCTCATAACCATTCGCTGTGCTTATTGTTTGCATCGGCAGAATTGTGAACACGATCAACACACAATGCAGTGCGGAAGTTATGAATACTTATTATCCTGCGTGCTCTCAAAGGGAAGTTTGGGTATCGTATTATCGTTTATGAAAAAGTGGAAGTCATTTACTCTGGAGTTCTGAACCTGTTTCTTATGTGTGCCTGATGTGTCTGTGCAGGGCCTAAAGTTCACAGTAAGGGCAGCGAAAAATGGCGCTGTCTCGGAGAATGATAGGCGTATACTTGTACTCCATCACACAGCCTCTCTTCTGCAGCATCGATATGATAATCTTGGTCAGAGAGCAGAAGAGTGAGTTACTCTGTTTGCGTCTTACTTTACTAGGCCTAGCTCAAGAGAGCCGAGTAGAATCTGGAAAAGGCGGGGAGTGTTGCAAGGTCCATTGTCTTCGCACTCTTCTTCCAAACTCGCTGGCAAAGCGGGTCAAAATTTCAAGAGAGCCGAGTAGAATCTGGAAAAGTTGAACATGCCAACATGGAGGTTGATTTAGCTTTTTTATTTATTTATAAGGATCAGATATTAGAGTTTTTTTTTTTCCCTTTCTTACGTTCTTTGGAGGTTTCTTGACTTTTGGCTATAAGGCAATTATTACGAACTTGCAGAGAATACTCAGAATAGACATGTGAAGATAGTGCTACGAGGCGGCGAGGCGGTCTTCCCCCTCCCCCCCCCCGCACCGGTTCTTTTACGGAATGATAATGAATGAAAAACAAGGCCCTGGTGAGCTAGGCTGTTTTTCCGGGCGCCCGGGCACCCAACTTCTGCCTGGGTACAAGCCTGGGTGCATGACCCCCGGGCAGGGTTCCGGGCAGCCCCAGCGCAGCAAAAAAAAAAAAAAATCAAAAAATTCCAGGAAAAGAAAATGTTTGTGTAGAATTGAAATACAAACGACTTTTGGCTAAGGGTCACATTATAATTCGTCACAGAATCGGAGATGGAAAAAAAGAAAGAATCACACAAAGGCACCCCCCTTAAGACCCCTTTAGCCACTTTGAAACTAATTTATGCACCCTCACCCCTCCCCCCGCCCCCCTTGACAGCCAACTAGCAAAAAAAGAAATGAGCCCGGATTTGGGGCCCTCTGGGAGACCACGGAAAACTGGAAAAAAAAAACTATGATCTTTTTTCTTTTTTTTTTTTTGCACGCCCAGGTGCCCAGCTGGGCAGGACCGTTCCTAGCTGGTGAGTACATTTGTGGTTGTCTTTTTGTCGTGTGCTTTCAGTGAGGGAGTGTCTTGACTATAGGGGCAAGCAAACCTTGTTCTGCAGTAAAGAAAATGTGAACTGGCTGCCGACCAATAGTGATTTAAGTGTCCACGCTTCTATTTGGAATCCTTTTATAGAAAGGGGAGAGAAATGGGAAGTTAAAAAAAGTTGTGTGACTGTCAGTTTTCCGCTGGTTTTTGGCTTCTATTTTTTCTGTGATGCAGGTCAAGGCTAGCTGCATCTGCTGCAGCGAAAGTGAAAGACAAAGTTGCTGCTCTCAGGCATTTGAGACGGTATAAGTCCCTTGCTTCCAACCGGGAGAGTTGTTTACGGTTTCTGGAGAAGATTGAGCATGTCTTAGGCGTAATATCAGAAGCAGAGACGTCAAAGCAGGTAGGTGATTTTCTGTTTGTCATTGCTCCTTATTTGCTCTACCAGACCTCATCCTACGGAGTGGAGGTGAATAGTCAGTGACTGAGCACCGCGCAAAAGGACGACAAACATCCTGACTGTGAGTCGTCTGTTGGACGTAGGGGCTCGTCCATTGAAGGAACAATGGACCTCTACTCCTCTGGAAAGAAGAATTCCACGCAGGCTGTTGTAGAGGGTGTTTCAAATCTCAGTCTGGTTGTGGGCAGATATGAGATAAGTGTCCTTCGGGACATCCGTTGAAATTGGAACGATACAGAGAAGATTAGCATGGCCCCTGCGCAAGGATGACACACATCAATCGATAAATGGTCTAAATTAATAAATATATAAAAAAAGAAAGAAAAAAGATATGAGATAAAGTATAGAGTTATTTTGACAACCACGCAGGCAATCTTCGACGGGGTGTTGGCTTATTCTGTCTTCCTTTTTTTGGCTTTGTTTCATGTTCTTGCTTTGTTTGGTATCTTCGTAGTACCCCCTTGTGAGCAATCGCGACTGTCCTCCCCTTTCTATGGGGTTGACTCAGGAATCTGGACATACAATGTGTTTTTTTTTTTGTGCGTGTGGGGGGGGGGGAACTCTTAAGCAGGGCCCACACTTCTCTTTTCTGTGCCGTCTCAGTTTTAAAGGCTGTCCAGAAAGGACTGCACAGACAATTTGACTCTCTCTCTCTCTCTCTCTCTCTCTCTCTCTCTCTCTCTCTCTCTCTCTCTCTCTCTGTCTCTCTGTCTCTCTCTTAGGTCTATCCGTCACTTCAGGAGCGTGGGCTCGATCAACACCAAAAAGCTCACGATCATCGGCACACTTCACAGAATCGTAGCAAATACGTATTCACGAGAGGACATAACAGCGGTTTTAAAGTTGCAAGTTACGGAGCTCAAACTGCTGGAATTCCCATGGCAGGTTATCCGAACGGCCATTCTGGCGTATATCAAGAGTTGCAAAGACAAAGACGTACGGGATGTATTCATCAAATTCCTGGAGAACGAGGACAAATACGAAACAAATAGAAAGAGAAAGCGGTGATGTAAAATATTGTAAATAACTACACTTAAATAAAGGTTCCGAAAAATCCAGACCGCGTACACAAAAAATCAGCAGATAAGTACGTACCTGATAATACGATGGAGCCAAACAAAAACGAGAAACAGGAAACGAAGAACAAAAACAAACCAGGATTAGCACATAATTCCTTGTAAAGTGGAATAAAAGATAATAAAATTAAAAAGTAAATAAATAAATAAATAAAATAAAATAAAAATTAAAAATAAAATTAAATTAAAATTAAAATACGAAGAAATCTTCCCGATTGAAAGGACCAGGGCATGTAAAATATAACGCAGAAGAAACATGAAAGACGGAGCAAAGAATTGCGGCACTAGGACCAGATTGGGATAGGTACATGGATGGATCCACGGAAGATATTCAATGGAGAGAATGACGAAGGAGTGTTTTTCCGTGAAAAATACGGAAAAATATGTAGTACTACGGGGACGGTCATTGGAAACAGAGAGGCGTCAGGAGATATTGTAAAATACGGAGAAGGGACAGTAAAGATAGGAACTATATCCAGACAGTAAGACTACGGGAGTTGTCGTCGGAAGCAGGGATGAGTCAAACAATTAAAAAATACGGAGGAGTGACTTTTGTCAAAAGGGCTACAGGATTTAACGTCGAAAGCAATGTTGAGTCGAGTGAAATTATAAAATACGGAGGAGGGACTTCTTAGAAAAATACGACAGAAATTATATCCAGGCAGATAGGACTACGGAAGTTATCGTCAGAAGCAAGGATGAGTCGGAAAATTGGAAAATGCGGAGGAGGGATTGTTAACAAAATAGGATGGAATTATATCCACATAGAAAGGACTACGGGATTTATCGTCGTAAGCAAGGATGAGTCGACTGAAATTGTAAAATATGAAGGAGGGACTTCAGAAAAATGCGATAGGATTTATATCAGATACAAAGGACTACGGGATTGTCGTCGGAAGCAGGGAGGATTCGGGCGAAATTGTAAAATACGGGGAAAGGGAGTTTTCTGAAATTTAGGATGATAGTTATATCCAAATAGAAAAGTGCATGAATTGAAGTCGAGTTACGGTAAGGGTTCATCGGGTAGGAGTTGGGACCAGAAGCAGAAACAGAAGGAAAGGAAGGAGAGAGAATTGCAAGAGTAGGAGGACACTTGGTAGATGAACATCCAGCGGCGAAAAGTGTGACGACGGAATTCAGCGACCAAGGACGTGATGGAGAACGAGTATACTACAGGCTAGAGGATGGATAGGTGGGGAAGAACTGGAGGCGTACGGTATAAACACCTAGATGATGGCTGGAAAGATTACCTGAGCAGAGAGGCAGAAGGGTGATCGCGACTTCGTGTTGTCGCATGCCATGGGCAGGACGTGTATTCTGTGAGAGTAAAGCCTCGCACGTATTGTCCAAATTGCAAGTGTTCTCTCTCTCTCTCTCTTTCTCTCTGTTGTGTGCGTGGCAGTCT